TGAATAAATTATGGAAGACAGTTTAAAGCGGATTTTCCCAACCAAAAAAACGTAGTAATATGTGGAGATTTCACTGTAAACCTGTTGGAAAACTGTTCTACTTCTGTAAGACTCATTAATTTATTTAAAAGTTTTATCTTGATTAATCTTTTTTAAGAACCAACTCGCATCACTGCCTCCTCTTCTACTTGTATTGATAACATCTTTTGTAACACAGACGCAGTGTCTTAATCAATAATAAATTACTTAAGATCAGACCATAGTGGCCAATTGGCTTCTTTTAATTGTAAAATGAGCAAGAAGGTAGACCAATTTCTCTGCAGACCGATTACCACAGAACGAATCATTGGATTTCAAAATAATATCGGCAATAGTTTAAATTCCCTACCCCGTATACCGGAGGTGCCAAATACTTTGTATAACACGATATTTGATTTAATTAAAAATGAATTTGATAATATGTTTAAATCGAAAGCATTAAATTTCCATAGAGAGACTAAATTCAACGATTCAACGGTATTCATAAGAGTAGGTCTCGTTTGTATGAGCTATATGCTATGAAAACTTATATTACTAATTCCAATTTCATAGAATATGTTAGAATTTATTAAAAAATATTTAAAAGGTATGTGTAGCTGCTAAGGCTAAGTTTCACAGCGACAAAATTAGACAATCGATAAATAAATCTAAAACTGCTTGGAACATAATAAATAAAGAGTCAGGCAGGGTTAAACAACACGATAGAGATATGGTTTTAGAATTACACAGCAAACTTATAAAATCTAAAGACAAAGTAGAACAAGCTTTTGAATCGTTCTTTTCGGAAATTGCTGTGAACACTACAAAATCATTAAATTCCTCCCCTTCACTTGCTATTGATCTCTTAAAGGAAAATGTTAACGTTTGTGGCAGTGTATTTCATTTCCGTCATGTTAATCCACAAAACATCATAAAAGCTTTTAAATCAATACATGTTAAAAAAACTGAAGATCTCTGGGGCATATCAACTAAAGTTATAGACTCAGTTATAGACTCAGTTATGGATCTAATTTCCCCACATTTAGCTGTAGCTTTCAATAGGTGCGTTGACAAAGGTGTTTTTCCCGATTTAATGAAATACAGCAAGGTTATACTCTTATTCAAAAGCGGTAGGAAAGTTGATGACGTTTTCAAATGTAAATTTATTTTACCTATGGAATAAATAAACTTTGACTTTGACTTTGATTGTCATTAATTAAGGTTTCTTACCACAATATGATATTCTTTTCATTTTCCCGTAATTTCAGAATGGTTACACGTTCCATGGTCACGGGTTGATTACCCAACGGCAGATGGCAGCTTCAAGAACAGACATTTTATCTGTCTACACTCCTTCGTCGTCGACGACAACCCTAATATAGAAATAAAAAGAAATCATTCGTGCTAAGAAACCTATAATTAGTGACAATCATTTACCTAGGTATTGTATAGAATACCGGATTACATACTTTGCCGATAACATATCCATACATACACACGACTATATAAACAATCGACGTGTAACACGACTACGCAATTAAATAAATTTCTTATGTGTCTATTTACAATATACAGGGTGATTCACGACTATGGGATACGGAGGGACAGTACTTTAAATATTGTAAATGTGATATTTTGCTTTAAGGAGACTTTATTTCATTTTGAAAATTTAGTGATACTGCATAAGCCAAGAACTATTTTTTATTTTCGGATCTAAATCTTGTATATTTTGTTGGCCATTTGCAGGTCCCATGGTCTTAGTTGTATCATGAGGGCCTCGCGTAATTAAATACATTCCTCGGTGCAGATGAATTTTATTGTAGAAATAAGGAATGAGTACAGGAAGATAAAAGAACGAGTAAAGTAAAAGCGTAAAGGCTGTGACAAAACAATGATATAAAAACAGTTACAATCGTATAAAAACACTCCCTACTTGAATACAGGTTATGGTAAAAAGAAGTTACCCCAAAAAGGCCTGTATTTTCTAGAAATACTATGCTTTATAAGCAGTTCGGTTACATGATTTTCAATAGTACTACAATATAAAAACAGTTACAATCGTATAAAAACACTCCCCACCTGAATACAGGTTATGGTAAAAAGAAGTTACCCCAAAAGGGCCTGTATTTTCTAGAAATACTATGCTTTATAAGCAGTTCGGTTACATGATTTTCAATAGTACCACAAATATTTTACAAGCAGTTAGGTTACATGATTTAACTGGTCAGAATTTTGTGTTAAGTCGAGTACGTGTGCTCGCTTCGGAAATTTAGTGGAGAGTGGCGACGGAAAGAAGAAAATTAAGAGTAACGAAGAAGAAAAGGAATCTAAGAACGATTCAAAATTTCAAAGCAGGTGGCCAAGAACCAGAGAAAAGGGTGGTAAAAAGGGGGAAAGAGGTTGCAGAGTCACAGATGTTTGAGTGAATGGGTCAGCCGTGATCATAGTACCTGTAAAGGGCCGAAACTTTGGTTAATTTGAAAAACTAATATACGCGCTTTACATCCGATAAAATATTTTCATTTCCTATGTATAACAATCATGGTGGGACTTGAATCCACGTCCATGCTGTGCCGTAGCATTGCTCTAACCAACTGAGCGCCGGGTCGTTTCGAGTCGGCGAAATTCTCGTATGTTTTTTGTTACAGATCTTTGTACCGGCTTTCGGCATTCGTCGCCGCTAGTGACATCTAGTGAGAGATATTTGATTAACCTTCTCACCGCAGCCATAACTTTACAGGTATTACAACTGACTCAGATGTCGCTTTTCAATCAAACGTATTTATTGATTTTTTTTTTTAATTAAATAAATAATAAAGTGAATAAATATTAGACAACATTACATACGTTGCTCTGATCCTAAAACAAGTAGCTGAGACTAAATGTTATGGAAATCGGAAACATCGACGGCACCACAAAATTCTAGACCCAAAACAATATGGAAAAGTCAGTTATCTGCATTGAACTAAGTTTAATAATTATTAATACAAAGATCGAACATTCAGAAAAAAATCCTTCGATCCGGTCGGATAAATCGGTGGGTGATAAATCTTTCATAGATGTCGCTACGACTAAAAAGTCGTTGAAAAACCAAATACAAAGACACGACGTAAGCACATAGAAAAATTCTTGAGGTCCATTGGTTCGTTCCGTGTCTTAGTTGGTATAGCGTCTGGCAGGGTTTGCAAGAAGACGTCGGTTCGAATCCGACCGGATCGAAGGAATTTTTTCTGAGTGTTCGATCTTTGTATTAATAATTATAACAAACTAGTGGAGTAATTTCACAAAAAATAATTAAATATCAATTCAATACAAATTTAATTAAGTTTAATAATTTTGGAAACTCAAATTTATATTGTGATTTATCGGTGAACAAGTGAAAATTACCTAAGTAATCTGCACAAGGTTTAGTTCATTGAATAATATTTTTTTTAGTTTAACAGTTACAATGGTTCAATTTCAATCCGACTGCGCCATGTTAATCTACTAGGGAGCGACAACCGGACACCAGTACCTGTTCAAGATTAACTGTGCTTTATTCAGTTTACCTACATGCCTAATATCAAATTCATACGAACTACCTACAAGTATCAGACATGCCCGAAGATGAGTATTCAAATGCCATTAACGAATTTTTACATTTACCAGCCAACATAAAGTGTTTAAGAGTGATTTATAAAAAAAAAACAATTACACAAAAACTATTGAGATATTAAACAAAAAACGCAAACAAAAACAAAAATGCTGAACAAATATAAAATTAGGGTATCTTTGCCAGTCACGTGATATGTCAAAGTGACGTCTGGTAAATTCCCGCCTGACTACGTCGTGTTTGTAAATTATCTGGATATATGCTTTTCCCATATGCGTAATATTGCCCGGTTCTCAGCTTGTCTCATTCATCTGCTGCCAACAACAACTGCCTTTCGTAGATCGTGCCGTGGTCTCCATCGTTTATCGGTTCTTCGACGGATATGGCCAGCCCACTGCTAATTCAGCTTGCTTATTCGGCCAGCTATGTCGACTACCTTAGTTCCCTGTACTGACTGACCTTAGTAACCTCATTTCTAATTTTCAAAACGGTTTATTATTGACGGAGAATTCTCAAAACATACATACAGCCGAACGTATAACCTCCTCCTTTTTTAGGTCGGTACAACGTTCTTTTTTTGAAACGCATTGAAGTTCTGTGGACGGTACTTTAATACTCATTATTAGTCTGATTTGTTAGTTCTGTGTAGCATAGACGAAATAATTTTGATTGAGAACACTGAAAAGCGCGCCTTTATGATATGGTTTATGAATCGCACCCTTCCGCAATCTGTATCTAATGGAGTAGTAGACGTTTTTGACGTAACTTCACTTATGCCATTTTTCCATGAGTGCGACATTATAACTGACAGATTAAAGTACAGGAGTAGAAAAAAAATGATTAATATCAATATATATTTATATTATATTTCTATAATTAGAAGTAAAACATCCTGATATGTAATAAACTTGTTATTTTTTTAAATAAGTGCGCATTTGACCTCCATCTCACCTGATGGAAGGTCACATGATCATTATATCGACGATGGCTACCTGCACACCTAAATGACGCCTATTCACTCTCGCCTTGAAAGGGTCCAAGTTAAATAGTAGTAATAAGTCCGCAAGTAGGGAATTCTACCCTCTAGCCGCTCGCCATATAAATGTGGATGCGAAACGCATCGTGCGAATCCTGGGAATATCTACAACATGGGGGTGGAATCCCAGACCACGTCCAGTCCCCCGATGATGGAAAGGGAAAGGCGGAATCAAATTATGCAATTCCATCGCACACTCTCCGTGATATATCCTATACTTAATTATAAGTAGATGTAATTCCGCAGTTTTGGGTTCGGTTTTTAAGAATTAAATATATGGGATCGCCGGCGAATAATAAAACATACAATATTCAAATAAATTGAATATATTTCAAATTTTAGATATAAGTAAATTTTAAAGTTTGCATTGTTCGGCGGGTATACATCGGGAAGTTTCCTCCTGCCTTAAGTAACCACTTATGCATTTGCACCCATTTCTATATTGTGACAGATCTTCGCAGTTGTAATCGGCAAGAATAGAAATACAAAGATCTGGAGGACAAATTGGTTCCGGCGAGTATTCCTCATTCCTAGGACAACAGCCATGGGGAAGTTGAGGACAGTTACAATAACGAACACATGGACTATCTTTGGTTAATCTTAGATAACCACTTTTGCATTTACATCCAGTTCTGAAAGGCGGTGAAGTGGCATTAATGCAGTTGTATCTTGAGACGATTGAGGCACACGTATCAGGTGGACATATTGGGTCTGATGAGTATTCTTCGTTGCGTTTACATCGTCTTCGAGATTCACCTGAGAAATTAATGACATATATATATATAATACATATAATAAGAAATAGTTTTATTTTTATCTATTTTGTGACCAGCAAAATGTGCCTGTAATAAATTTTTTAATTCATAATATTTTCTTTCCTCGATGCCTACCCGTTACAGGGTTATTTATAAAATACTAACATCCTCACATGACTATATTACCAACATTATACATAAAAACACCGAGAAAAATGAAGAAATAGATTTCTCAAAGATGGCTCTACGACAAAGAAAAATTATTAAAAACCAAAAACCAAGATCTGCAACAAGCATATAGAAAAATTCATTGATTCGTTCCGTGGCTTAATTGGCAGAGCATCTAGCATAGATTGCTGGAAGGTGATAGTTCGAATCCAGACCGATCAACGGAATATTTGTTGGTGTATGGATGTTTGTATTAATAATTATAACAAACTAGTGGAGTAATTTCACAAAAAAATAATTGAATATCAGGGCATTAAAATATCGTGACATTCACTACACTTAAAAATTTCAATAACTTGTTCCACGATTTTAACAATTCATCATATTTTACTTTAGTATACAAATCGTATACAAATTGCACACAATTTTTTAACACATCTTGTTCTTAGGTTTTCACGATTGATACATATTGGATGAGACCTTTTTTCCCGACTTAAATCGGTTATATTGGTTTTTCAAACCAATCGACATTTCAGGTTTTTTACAGGTCCCATAGGCTTTGTTTAAAAAGAAAGAACACGCGATTTAGACCGGAAAAATGTTTCATTTTCAATTCTTTAACAGCTTTAGTCCATATTCACGTCAATATCCAATCATAAAACGCGTAAAGAGACATTTCATTAAATAATGTACAGTAAAAAACTCATTTTGAAATATGTACCTGACACATATACCACGTAAACAAGAGCACAAATAAAAATTAGCAAAAACCGCGCCATTTTTACACAAAATGCCGACAAACACTGAACATATATGTATGTTAGATAAAATAGAAGCAAAACAAGTTTTATACGCGCAACTGTAATAACATTCGACCGCTATGTTCAGACAACATTAAACGGTACGTCATTGACTAAAGGTGCAAATTTGCTTTTTTTACGCACATCCATTATTTTCCCTGTTTATATATATTTAATTACTCAGGTAAGTTTGTGTCAAGTAAGTATTCAAACACTTTTTGTAATTAAAATATATATATTTAATTTCGTCAGTCTGTTCTGGGTTGCGGGTTTTTATAAATGGAAGAAAGTTCTTCTGTCGATACAAATCTTACAATGAAAATTTTATAGGTTTTTATTTTGCATGGAAACCGCGTTAATAGTCACATTTGTTTTTTACACTCGTTCGACTCCAGTCAGATAGATTTAATCTTTAATTGAACTTAATGTATAAGGAGTTACATGACGCTTGGCTGAGCCTTATTAATGAATGACTTATTAATAATATAATATAATAATATTAGTTTATTTGTTTTCAAGTTTACATTTACAGTAAGCCTTTTAAGCTTAACAATGCCTTTGTTAGGAGACTCCCTCTTCTACATCCGTAATACATCTAATTTATACAATTTTGATATTAATCTTGTTTCTAAGTTCAACAGTTTCAGGTATTGAAGCGTGGAACACACAGGGAGCGGATGCGGTTCGAGCGCGCAGTGTATTGTCGTCCATATAAATACACGGAATCAGGCCCGCCGCGGCCCCGACCCGACCCGCGCCCGACTCGCGTCCACTCACTGTGTGTTTCAAAATTTAAAGCAGATATTTAATAATTAATACTAACCAGTTATTTGGTTACGTGGTTAAACTTATTACGCATATTATTATATTGTGTGGTCCCACGACTATGCGACACGGAAGGAAAGTACCTTAAACGTTGTAGATAGGACATTTTGCTTCATGACATTATTTTACTTTTATAAGTAAGTAATACTGTTCTAATTATTGATACAAAGATCGAATACCAAGAAAAAATTCCTTCAACCACTCCAAAAAGCCACTTAACAAAATGGCGGACCTTACAAATATTTTCTATGTGCTTGTTGTTGATCTTTGTTTTTGTATTTTAATAACTTTTTGCCATTGCATCATATTTATGTGAGAAATATTTTCAACGAATATAGATCATAAAAAATAAATAAAGATAATTTTAATACATGCTCCGGAATCTTATTGTAAAAACGTATACAGTTTCTCATAAAAGAATCGTTTACCTTAGTTAAACGAAATAGTGGTACCATGAGCTTGGACTTAGTTCTAAGGTTAATATTATGAATATCTTTTTTTACCAAAATATTTGAATAAATGTACTGTGATGCCGCAGTCATAATACCAGTCTCTTTAAACTTTTCACTGAGAGAAACCCGACAACCTAAACGGTACAAAGAATGAATCACTTGTATTGCAACACATATATTAGGGTTTATTCAGCAACCCAACGATTTAGTAAAAAGGACCAACTAATAAAACAGAAATATGATAATAGTATTTCGCATGGTGCAATAAGAGTTACCAACTTAGCGACTTTGTCTCTTGCGATATTTTGTTTCTATTTGGCGACAAAAAATAGCTACTTTTAGGGGCCTATTTAATTACGTTTTAAATATTTCTTCACACAGCGGATGCAAGGAATTTGTTCCTAGTATTCGTTTTATCTTAGTATTAATAATTATTACGAGCTAATCGAGTAATTTCACTAAAATAATTCAATATCATTGTGGTCAAACGTCCTGACATTCAATGAGCTTATAAATTACAAGTAGTACCAATAACTATGTTAAAAAAATTTTGAAAATTCCTTCTCTTACCCGGGAATCGAACCGATCCAATGTGAAAAAAACATACTGTATTATTACGGTACCGATTGAAAGGGTCAATTATTATAAAGATTAATTCTTTTCAAGTAGCATAGTATCTTAAATAATAATAAAAATGACGCAACCATTCAGAGCCCCGCACTAGGGAAACCCTGTGTTAAAGGTGCTATGGACACACACACAACAAGTTACACCCAAACTCACGATAGAAATAAATGTAGGCCATACAAATATTTCTCCCGGCCCGGGAATCGAACCCGGGACCTCTGCGTAGCAGACTAGCATGGTAACCGTTCGGCCACAGAGCAGTTAATAAATTAAAGGAATACCATGAAATTTTATATAATTGTACCCTTTATGAAATTTAAAAGCCTCCCATTTTGTCGTTAATTAATAATGGTAATATATGTAAGGCCATAAGGGAAATGGCCGAAAGGCCGATAACAATGAAATAAATGTATATCGAAGACTTTTACTTTTGTACTTTCGAACTAATAAACTGTGACAAGAGGATAACATAAGGAGGATAAGGACACGAATAAATGTCGTTATTATTTCATCGCCAACTTAGAAATAATGGTATTATCTGATAATAATCTTGTCACAGTTTATTAGTTCGAAAGTAAAAGTCTTCGATATATATTTATTTTATTATTCTCCCTATGAAATAAATGTTCTACTACAATAGTTCACATTATCTTGTTTAATTACGTGTTTAACCTACGATGTACTTTGATAGGTGCAGTCTAGCCTAATAACGTGTTTTTAACTTTTATTAAATTTAAGCATAAAAAAGTTAACGATTAATGTCGTTGTCGAAGAATAAGTATATTGTTTTGTTATGCAACCTTGCTGATGTTGTTTTGTAGCATCAAGGTTGCGCATTGAATATAATACATTTAAATAAAAGAAATATTCACTATTGGAATATTATTTCTTTTATGATATGTCTACGTAGGTACTGCCTTTTTCGTGGTAAATACTTGAAAAACAAATACATACGCACGAGTACACAAATAAAACTGCTGAGTATACTAATAAATTGATCATACAAAGAAAATTACTCTGTCCACAAAAACAATATTCAGGAGATATATGTTATTTTACTTTGAAACCGAAAAGTTTATAATGTAATTTAATTTTTATTGGTATATTAAGCGAGTAAACAGTTTTATTTCGTTGTGTTGCTAGTTAATTGGTATGCACACAACCGGTTTTAAATGCTCTATTGTGTCTATATAGACACAACTTATATAAGTTTATCGCAGTTCTTTACCTTAATGTATGTATTGATGCACGTGTTTCTCGACATTTTGACGTAAAATGTTACAAGTTTTGGTAATTTTTGTCTTTGCTTATCGCTACGTAATACTCGTTCGAGGTATGTACTTAAAAATTTTCTTTTTAACAAATTCAAAACATATGCACATAGGTATTGAGTTTATTGTATCTATTACGATAAAGGATTTGTCTCTATTTGTATAGAGATAATGTTACCTAATCACACAATAATATGTTTTGTATGAAATAGTTATGTGTTATGTAAGGCTGCAAAGTTGTTGTTCGACGCAAGTGCTTGTATTGAAACCTGAACAAGCGAGGCAAGCTAAGATTGAACCACGGGCGAAACGAGTGGTTCAAAAATAGATTCCTAAGCGTAGCGAGGGTTTCAAGGCACGAGACGCAAAACAACTTTGCTACCGAGCGAAACATACAACTTTTCATGTCACTATAGCGACGAAAATGGTAGATTAATGAAAAACAGTTGAACTATAAAACATCAGTTTTTTAAATTAAAAGAGAGTTTATCTTCGGATGCATTCTGAATTTACGCCTCATCACTTTTTATTTTAGCTCGTACTTTTATTTTGTGTGATTAAGGGATTATTGAAATTGTTTTAATTCTTCGACGAATTAAAATAATTTAATAAACACAATTAGTCACCATTGTCAATTTAATGTCAACAGTAATAATAATAAAATATACCAACAGATTTATATTACATAAATAAATGATGTACGACAAGTCGCTTATTTGAACGTGTCATTATTTTTCATCAAAAGAAAAACTTGGTGCAACACAGTCCATCGTCAAGTTTGTATTTCAAAAACCGTTTCCACGTTAGCGTGCAAAAAACACTTTTGCGCCCAGATTTCTAAGGAGAAAGAAAGCTTTTCCGAGCTCACTACCTCGGAAAGGCTTTCTTAGCTAAGTTCACCTCACTAGGTCAAAAAAGTATTCATAACCTCTTAAGTACCTACGGACATCAAAATGGGCATAATATATGAAATAATTCAGACCCAGATTCTTACTTGCGTCGTGCACAATAAAATGAAAATATCGCATTAAAGTTTTGCATTGTATAATCTATATAGCCGTCAAGCAGTAATGTGTTTCGGTTTTGAGGGGTAAGGGTGATGGTGAAATTATGTCTCAGGGTGGCAGTACCCCTCAGATCTTTGTGATTCAAAGCTTAAAGTGGCACTGCAACTGTTATGGACATGCGTGCCGCTTACCATCAGGCGCATGACTTGTACGTCTCGTCACTTCTCCAATCAATCCTTTTATAGGATACAATCTCTTTTACTGCGCAACCATTGTGGTGCAATAAATTGTTTTCGTACATACTGCTGCCTCGGTGGCCGAACGGTTACCTTGCCGGACTGCCACGCAGAGGTCCCAGGTTCGATTCCCGGGCGGGGAGAAATAGTTGTATGGCCTACAATTATTTCTCTCGTGAGTTTGGGTGTACTTGGTACTTGGTACTTGGTGTAACGGGCTAGTGTCCGCAACTCGACGTCAAGGCGCCTATTTTGCGTGTGAGTTTGGGTGTAATTTGTGGTTGTCTATGTGTGTGTCCATGGCAAGGTTTCCCTAGTGCGGGCCTATGTTGAGTGTGTGCGTTATTTAAAAAAAATAAAAAAATATGATGTGTTTTAAATAACAATATGTTATATTATAACGTATTGTTATAATATAACATATTGTTATTTAAAACACCGCGGGTGACATTGACACACACATAGACAACCATAAAAAAAATCCTGTATATTGCAAATTTTGTGTGTAATCTATAGAGAACATAGCTTGTTAGTTTTTTAAATATTTGAAAAACAAACTGTAATAAATATCTTACCTACTTACCATATGTATATAAGATTAAAATGTAATTATGGTTATTACTTTTTAAGGGGAATATTACGAACGCTGTCCACCTAATGAAGAATTCTCACCAGACCCGATATGTCCACCTGACACCTGTTCCTCGATGACTAAAGAGTACGACTGTTGCAACGCCACGTCATTGTCATATAAAACTGGATGTAGATGCAAAAGTGGCTACTACAGATTGAAGAAGAATGGTCCATGTGTTCCTGCTTCAAACTGTTGCTCTGAAAATGAGGTATATTCTCCGGACCCCATTTGTCCACCTGACACCTGTTCTTCCATCTCCGCAAGTTATTACTGTGATAGTCCAGTATCACCTTACAAACCTGGATGTCAATGCAAAAGTGGTTACTTGAGATTGGAGAAGAATAGTCCATGTGTTTCTGCTTGTAACTGTCCTCAAAATTCCAACTATTGTCCTGAGAATGAGGAATGTGTTCTCGCGCCGTTTTGTCCTCCAGATACTTGTTTTTCTCTCTCTGCTAGGTTCGACTGTCGCAATGTAACCGTAAATGATATTGGATGCAAATGTAAAAGTGGTTACTTGAGAAGAACAGAAAATTCACCATGTACGCCAATTGAAGCTTGTTTTAAGAAAATTTGAATTAAAATCAAATTGATTTCAATACGAATTTTTACATGTACCTATCCATTGTAAGTAATTTTTTTTAACAAGTTGTTTATTCTATCTTAGAAAATGAACAGAGATAATTTATGCTGCTGTAAACTTTATTTCTAACCAAATAGAGACGTGCGCTAATCAGCGTCTGACGGCTTTGCCATGTTTCGACTTGCGGCGAGTCACATATTTTTCAGGCGTTAAAAAATACTAAATTTAATTTGAAATTTACTATGGGCTTTTCAATGAAAAAATTAAAACATCGTGAGGATTGTACACATCTTCAAAGCAATTTAATGGTGAGTGTGAAGTTTCCAATCCGCATTGAGGAGGAAGCCTGTGCCCAGCAGTGGAAGTATGTATTAATTTTCTATACTTTAATTTGAGAGTTCCTAGGTAATGACGTGGAAAAGTTGTCAGCTACGCACATCTCTATTATCAACTTTTTACGTCTGTTATACTGTATGTAATTTATTTATAACATATGTAAAATTATGTATGTGACAAATACTTTTAAGAATGCTTTTATATTTTGTACTGTGACAAGCAATCCACTCTCTCAAACTCAAACTGATGATGGACTTGGACGATGCTTGCCAATCTAACTCAGAGCATTTTCCACCATGCAATTTGTAGGATCGCTACAATTTCATAATTCAGTCAAAAGAGACAGATGTAGAGCGAAGGTCCTAGAGATAATTTTTGCTCGTTCTGATTCGACAATGGCCTAGTGTAAATATGTTTTATTACACTATACAGGGTTGTTTGTAAAATATTAACAACCTCCCAGGATTATATTACTAACAACTTAAACAACCACGTTTGTTGTCACTTGAACATCATAAATTTGCCAAAAAGAAACTTAGCTTTGCCCTCCTTGTGAAAGGGCTCGTCGGGAAAGTACTGCCACCTTACCTATTTCTGCCGCTAAGCAGTAATGTTCGCATTATTGCGCTCCGGTTTAGAAGGGTAAGGGTGCTGGTGAAATTACAGGCATATGGGACTTGTCAACTTATGTCTCAGGGTGACGGACGCAGTGACAGTGCCCCTCGGATCTTTGCGACTCAAAGTTATGAATTTCACTTCAACTGTTATAAACAAGCGTGTAGCTTACTATCGGGCACATGACTTGTTCCTTGCGTCACTTGATATTATAAAAAAAATATTTCTGTGTGTCCGAAACTTCAGATCTGTATTTTTAGTTTCCATCCTCTAAGATTTTTAGCAACGCCCCCGCGTGTTGTCATTCATAAAAATAGTGATGGGCACGTTCTTACGCACAGAATTGTCACCATTTAGAGCGGTCTATTTAAATATTTATATTTTTGTGCAAAAGTCAAATCTGATGAATTATTAAAAGTTAAACAAAAATTGTTTTGAATTTTTTATTGAATTCACACTCAATTATTCTTATGTGAAATTACTCCACTAGTTTGTTATAATTATTATATATATATATATAATTATTAATTATTAATACAAAGATCGAACATACAGAAAAAAATCCTTCGATCCGACTGGATTCGAACCGACGTCTTCTAGCATGTCGTGCCAGACGCTATTCCGAGGCTTAGTTGGTATACGTACGTTGTACACGCACACACACACACACACACATACACATATATATATATATATATATGTGTGTTAATATATATATATACATATATATATAATATACACATACGTAATATCAGTTGTTTTTACTTTTAAATGTTCTGTTTTGCTGTTGTAATCAAATAAAATAAAAAAAATATGTGATAAATTTGTAACATTTTACTAATTACATATACATAATAATCAATTCAAAATCTTTGTCATATATAGGCATTGAATAAAGTTCTGCCACTCCCGGACAAAATGCTATAGGCAACGTGGGAACTCTTTCAACATGGTTATACAAAATTAGTAATAACGTGCGCACACTCATAGCCCCGCACTAAGGAAACCCTGTATCGCGGACTGTAAATGTAAAACTGAAAGCTTCTTGCGCTAACAATCATTTGTATGTTACATGTTTTTAAGAAATTTTGTCGTCTTGTAAAAAATTCCAGTGTCAAACTTCAAAATCCCACACGACTCCATCTTGCAACGTTCCCAGAATTGTAATGTAAAATGGCTAATCGGTAATCGGTGTAGTGCGATTACCGTAAATTGGTCCGCGGGGTACGGTCGTGTCACGCGCGAATATAAAGTAGTTAGCTCGCCAATCCTTTAAGGTACATCTGCAATTTTTATTGCGATTGAAAATGTTATATCTTGTTACATTGTTTCTTAAGCGCTCCGTAAACGATAAAATAATTTGTCAAATTTCACGTGTTTGTCAAACTTTTTGATCCTCTGCGGTCGTGTTTGATGCCTTTATCAAATAATCTACGTGTTTAGTGTGTTTGATGGAAATCTAGATTGACGGCGTGTTTGACAAACATGTTTGAAGGTATGCTGGCATGTTTCTCAAATAAAACTTCAGTTGTCACCTTGGTAGATTCTGTATAGTCATCTGGTTCTATGCGCAATATTATGTTTGACAAATTATCGTGGTTATATATTTATCTTAATTACAGCCGTTCTCTATACCAATTACCAATGTAAATTTCTTTGTTTCTTAATAGTGCTAGAGTTAATGTCAGAAAGGCTTTCTTTATTATTCTTACTCATTTCACAAATTACAGAGATATATTACTCATTGTATTAACTATAGTAGGTACGATACGGTGAACTAAAGGCAAGTTTGTCAAACTTGTTTGGTGGTTTATTTGATCGATTGCACTTTTTGAAGAAAACTAATATCTAATAAATTTGACGATTTATTTGATCGTTTACGGGGCGTTTTAGAATCTTCTAAAAACGTTTCTAAAAAAATGTTTCATCTTTAGATGCAAAGCGATACAATCATAAGCGACACATTTAAGAATCTTCTTAGTGATAGTTTCTATTAAACAGGCAATGTACGCCAAATAGCCTTGTTGCGATACTATCGGAAATCGTTTTTCGTTTATAGAATGATCCTCTATTGTGCAATACCAGTCACTGGCCAATGCGTGATGTGCTTGATTACGTCTTAGTGGGACGATGTGTATCCCTCAATATTATGTTATTTGAGTAGTACAAATTTTTGTTAAATAATTTAAATTTTTATTACTAATACAAAGATCGAACACAAAGAAAAATTCCTTTGACCTAAAAGGACTCGAACCTGCATCTATGCCAAACCAGAGTTACCTCTCTACCAACTGAGCTACAAATCGAGTCAGTAGACTTTCTCTAGGTGTTTGTTACATATCTTTTAAATTTTAGTAGCAGTAGAGCTCCATGTGAAAGAGTTTTATTTATTTCTGCCGCCAAGCAGTAATGCCAGCATTACTGTGTTCCAGTTTTGAAGGGTAAGGGTGCTGGTGAAATTACAGGCACTTGGGACTTGTCAACATATGTCTCAGGGTATCGAGCGCACTGGCAGTGCCCTTCATATCTTTGTGATTTAAGTTCTGAGTGGCACTGCAATTGTTAGGGACAGACGTGTCGCTCACCACCAGGCAAACGAATTGTTCGTCCCATCACTAGTATTAAAAAAACTAGTGAAGTAATAAGTAACAAATTAACAGTCCACACCACTGTTGGTGGAGGTCCTAGGTCAGAAACCCAAGGCAATGTGAGTTTCACAAAGTTGCTTGTACGCTATGGAAACTGGAATATGTAACAAAAAGTCAAAAGAGTCAATAAAATGTTAAACATATTAAACTTTATAGGTTAACTTGCATTAACCGTGTAGATAGATAGATAAAAACTTTGTACAGTTCCACGATAACTTATTTACTTCCTTATGTACTCATCAACTAAAACTAACACTACAGTTACTACATTGAACCCCTATTGAACCACTTAAAAATAACAATTTTAAACGTGCAACTTTACATATAATTAATTGAAGTTATTAGTTTCGGAAGTCTTGGCAGTGAAAAGGCACTGGCTCAGCATAAATGCCGCAGTTTCCCACGACCTTGGTATTCTGCCAGAATCCTGTACAGTGAGACGCCACTCATTATCTGTTACTATCATCTGGCGTTATCGTATAATTTAATAAAGACTATATAGTCAATATTGAAAAAAAAAACAAAAATTTTTAAAGTAATGTGCCACTGTTTAACTGTTTGTGTCCTTATACATGTAGCCCACAGCAAGGACTAGGATCTTCCCTAATTATGAACTATCATGTCTATAACGGACTGTACAAATGTAAATAGGGTGCTAAACTATGAATCAGCAGGACCAGAGAAAATATATCTACAGAGTTAATTAAAAAAGTATGAAAACAAACACAGTAAAACAATGATAGAATTACAAAAATATAAGACGCTTCTGAATTTAATTGTACTTGCTAAAAACAAGTACAATTAAATTCAGAATTCTTATTTTTAGCAAGTACAATTAAATTCAGAATGTGATGTAAAAATGGTAAAACTAATAAAATAAATAGATATATTTTACAGTTACACCTTTTCGTCAAGACATAGACAAGAGTTTGGACCAATCTATCGTATTACTATCTAGTTTGCATTTTGCTCGATTAGCATAATTCTGCCATGACTGCGGACGTTGCCTTTGTTAACCGACTTTGAAATTAAGAAGTTTTTACGATGATTGAAGATGAGATTTATTTGCGAGGACGATTATTCTAAGCATTGTGATGAAATTGTGCTAACGTAAGAGTCACTAATTTGTAAAGGCCAACAAAAATTGGTCTTTCATCACATTGGGTAATACAAAATATAAAGAGAATAATTTCAGCTGAGTCCCTCTTGTTGATAAATCGAAGATCAGAGATCGTGGAGCTGGGAGCAGCTGAAGTACGACGTTAAGATTAAAAATGTTTGCAATGACTACAGATGAGGCTTATGAATGAGTCACAAATTTATAAGAACTGATAATATTTTGTCAATCGTTAGCATACCAAAAAACATATTTCTTCGACAGATTTCATACAACAGACAGCAAAGCAATACTTATGCTTTTAGCGTACATGCGATAATGAGGAACTTCTTTTACTAAAAACAAGAACATTTGACATCAAAAGATAGAACCCAGCATTTC